AAAAGTAATACTACACAAACAAGAGTAACACAGTTCCTTCTCTCTAACCCCAACTCAAGACGGAGCAAATTAATTTAGCCACAAGATCAGGTTACAATGGCAGATGAGAACAAGAATTTGGGGCAAGTTTTTAGTTTTTCTTTTTTTTTTTTTAATTTTAGGAGCACTATGTAGTTCCTTTTACATTTTGGTCCAGGTCTCAAACACTACTGGCTACACAGATAGCAATTACTGCTCGCTGTGGAAAAATTGTTGACTTAAGTGGCCTAATTTCAACTCTTGATGTTCTTTGGCTTCAAACAAAACACCAACTTCACAGAACGTGTTGATATTATAAGTGTCGTTCTTCTACACTACAGCAAGACCATCATGTTTTGCAACCAATTTATCTTCTCCTCAAAAAAAAAATCTGTTTTATAAGTTTACCGTGACATTTCAGTGACAACAGCACTAAGACTGCTAAGAAAGAAAAAAAAAGGGAGTAATTAAAAATAGGCAGAGAAGTGAACGTCATGATACAATGACAAAATAATCCCCTAAATTTTCTTTGCAAACATACCACTAAAAGCCCAACGTTTACCATGGTAATACTAAATCAGATTGTATTATGGGGATGAGTTTATATGCAGATCTATACAATTTATACACTTAGCATATATGCCAAGTCTTCTAGTCATAGTAAATTACTAAACTGTCACACTCCATAATTAACACAGTCACATTCTGCTAACCATTTTCAGTATTTGAGTAGAAGAATTTAGCCCCAAAAATTAAACTCAACATTAAATGGCAGAGACAGGTCTGCCTTTTTTCTCACCTACTGCTCAGACTATTATCGAGGCAGCACAAGTACCAGCGTTTCTTGCAGGCTATCATACATGAATGGAACACACTCAAAATTGTCTTTGTAATACAGCCAGGACTTTCTAGTAATTAAGTAATTGGACAAGCTATCTAAACAGACTGTACACCCCACATGAAACATCAGGTTATAGAAAGTAAGTGGCACTAATGTTATTTGCAGACACAGAGAACACCACAGTAGTGGGCAACTGTAACTTTAGTCTTAAGAAGGTGGTTAGCAACACCTACTGGTCATGATGAATACTGAACATGGTTACCAATACAATTTTTTTCTAAAAATCTAAACCTTTTATTACAGTTGAAATGCCTAGTTCAATTACTTAGTCATTACTGGCACTGTTGATGCTTAAATGACAGCTACAGAAAAATAATAAGAATTAGAGCTTCATAACTTGTGTGAAGTGATGTGGACACATTTTGAACTATAACAAACGTCAGCCTAGTGTGAAGCCTTACACTTTTACAAGTCGCCTTCTACGTCGTGCAATTCTTAAATTAACGTTTTGGATATACTTTCCTCTCTGACAGGATAGGGAGTTGGACCAAACACTATTTACTAATAAAACAGTGCTGGGCTGTGATGCCTGATCCTTCCAGTCTATTTCATCTGTCCAAAAATTAATGAGATGAAAATCATATTTTGTAAACATGATTCATTAGTTTTAGATGCTCATACTCAACTCAAACTTCCAGATTTCTTTATCAAGAAGATGCCCTGAATTACATTTAAGTATGGTACAACAACTATAACACCTGTATCCACTAACTGCATTCAACATTTTACATTTGTATCAAGCCCTTATTGAAAGAAAAAAAAGGCTTTGTAATCCCCGATATACTAGCCTTCTTCATTAGACGTTTTCCTGGTGCCCATCCAAATGGGAAAATTATACCTTCTTGCTCCACGTGTTAAAAGGATTCCTACATTATTTATAAGGACTGCTATAATGTAACTCCTGGATCCAACTTGCAAGAGAGTTGCACATAAAAATGACAGACAAAACTTGCATAACTGCCACCATTTCAGTATTTGGTCCAACTTTGGACTTCACTTCAGAATCAAATTGGCATTCTAATATAGCTCTCCTTTTTTCCTACCTACAGCTCAGTGGTCCTCAAACATATTAGAGTCAAGGCACCCCTTGGAAAATGTCAGCTCTTTTCACTCATTCTTGGAGTGCAGAACAATAATGGAGCAATTCTTCTGTTGCAAAAAACTCAGAAAGACCGCAGAAGATCAGAGTGTTTTTGACCCTATGGATTCTTATTTGCAATCTCTGGGTTTATCTTGTGAATCATGCTTGCCCACCTAACAGATGCTGCAGGTTAGGTACCTCAAAATAAGAATCCCCATATTACTACCCACTTTTGAAAGACTTGATTTAAGTACTGATGGTTCCCAGAAAAAATGGTCCAGTTACATATGGTCCTTTTGTCTGGCACTTTCTGAAGTAGTTAACAAAGCCTCCCAAGAGATATTTTACCATATTTACCCACCCGAACACAAGACAACACTGGAAGTAAGATGACCTACAATAATTAGATTCTAAACGTGGAAAATTTAAAAATTTATTATAAAATTCCATGTATAGACTGTAATTATGATGTCATCTTAAATTTGTCACCCCCGACACACTACTGAAGGTATGGGGAAAAAGATGATGGGGGGGCAGTAATACAGCAGGAGATGGGGGTCAGACAGTAGAGGAGGCAGTAGCGGGGCATGTGGTAGGGTAGACGGGAGGCCATAATGGGGCAAGCAGTGGGGCAGGGAGGGGGGAGGTGGACACACGACAGGAAGTAGGTGGCAGGTCATATGGAGGTGGTAGGGCAGGCAGTGAGAAAGGCAAGCAACTTTCCCCCTCTGCCTCTTCTGCCCCCACGTATCCCCACTGTTCCTGCCCCTGCTTCCCCCAGCCTACCCCACTTCCCCCTTCCCCTCTTCTCCACTCCACACTGCTTCTGCCTTCCATCTCCCCCACCAGTGTCTCCCCAAGAACTGCCCATCCACCCTCCCACCTCTTACCTTTGCTCCTTGCTGGTAGGCTTCAATACTGCTGCAGCCTAGGGGCACAGCTCCAGCCCTGCCCTGAAGCAGTTACTATAAGTTTGGGCTGGAGCACATGCTCTGTGCTCCAGGCTGCAGCAAGGACAGAGCCTGCCAGCACAGAGCAAGGGTAAGGAGGAGTATAGCAAAGGGGGAGAAAAAGAAAGATGGTGCGGGGGGGGAGACTGGGGACTGCGGGGGAGGAGTAGCAGGGCACACACAGGTAGCAGGGAGGAATGCGGCAGCTGTGGCTCCAGCTCCAACCCTAACCCTGGGTTGGGGCAGAAGGCATGGTAGCTGCCTGCCCCCCCCCATGCTTGAGTGAAAGGGTGAGGGGCTCCCCTTCCCCCCTATGTTAAATGGGGTGGGAAATCTCATCTTCTAATTAAGTAAATAGAGTGATTCCTTGTCAATGTAAAAAAGCCTTTCAGCTCTGAATGGTATTTGAGCCACTATTTAAACTTTACTTTCAGTTGCTTTAACATAAGATACATTAAAATATCTCACGGACCACGGTACATATCCATCTCTGCAGTCTAAGCAACCAAACAAAATGAGAAAACTGCGTGCCCAGGGCAGCTGAGGTCAACAGCGTGATTCCTCAGCATGTTTCTGGAAATATTACATTTATTCGAAAGCAGTGGTCGGCAATGGTTAACAAGTCGGGGCCTGAAACAACTCAGTTCAGGTCCAAGGTGGATTATAATTTCTGATCTGGCTCCTGCTGCCACCACCACCACTTCTCTCTGCTGTCTGGCCAAGGTGTGGGCAAAGCACCCACACTGCCAGAATGCCACCAAAGCCCCCTAGGTCTGCAAGCCAGATCAGGCCCACAGGCCATAGGATGCCAATCCCTGCTCTAAACAGTGCTAAATATATGGAAAATACTATGTCTCATATTTTCTGATTCCAGATAACTACCCCTGACTTTCATCTTACTTAGTTTGCGTGGTATATTATAGCTCAATCCATAGACCTGTATACAAACAGCAGTAAATATACTGTAAACCCAAATAAAAGTCAACAACAGAACAACAACTCAGTACATCATTTGTGGCAATGCCCAAACAGGATTTATTTTAAGTTGACACTTAAGGGAAAGCAGTTTGTGTTCCTCTTCATACCGTGGAGATTTTTTGCCCATGTTGCAACATTTAGTCTCTCAGGATTTAGAGACCAAGTACTTGAACGGAACATTACACATGACATAATATGATGTGCATTCTGTCCTCACACAATCGGCTTCAGAAGAAATAAACACCTCATTACAATTCTGCCTGTCAACTGTACTCTACAGTCTTCAGGACAGCGATTTTGTTCTGTTTGGCATATTTGTACCTAACCCATAGCATTACATAGGCTTGCAGGGAGACAATAAATATATGCAACTGTCAATATCAAAAGGGACAGTCAACTTATGTTGCACATGATTTAACTGCTTCGTATTAGCTAGCACTCATATTTCTTGTATCTGAAACAGAGGAGGAAAAAAATTGCCTCTTATTGCCTTCTCACTATTATTATAATATGATAATTAACACTCATGATTACTGTAGCTGAGAGAAGAAACAAGATATTGCTCTGTTTGGCAGAATTATGTATCATTGATTTCACTGATCTCTGTCCCTCATGCCCATGGAGGCCTGCACTGCACTGCCAGCTCTGCAGGGAACTTCCCCTGTTCCCTTAGAGAAACTATATGAAAGCTTTCTGCTTTATCTGTGAAATGGGGATATTATGCCCTACCTACCTTAAGTACTGAGAGGCATAACACATTTATTTAATTATTCAGGGTTTCTAGGAAGCTGTACAAACACAGGGCATTTTAACACTGTTTACTCTCTAAAACGAAGTGAATTAAGAGTGGAAATGAGTTCTATCATTTTGGCCGCAACACTGTGCCTTATTTTTTTTTAACTATGATTTAAAAACATGGTTGTATTTCACTGTTTGTGCAGTGCCCTTCCAGATGTCTCATCAAGTGACTATGGGCAGCACAACTTGGATAACTTAATGTACAGAAATATGTGAATGCTCAAAAACAAACTCCCTCTCTCCTCCCAAAGCAAAAAAACAGTTAATTACGCACCTTCTTGAGATGAGACAATGGGTGGCATGTAATCAGGAATGTACTCTTTCCTTTCTTCTGCATCTTTACTTCCAGGCTGGGGAAACTGTAGGACATTGTTCTTGCTGACAGGAAACGAAGGGATTTGATGTGCAAATGTGACAGGTTCAATATTGTGTATATAATCTTCAAGCTCATGCAGGTTAACTCCCATGAGTTGGAAAGCATCACCTACATCATCCAAAATTGGATCTGTACGGCCATCTGCAACAAAAGGGAATTTGGGTAAGAATCTAATCTAAAGAACGTGTTTTGTAACGAAAAATACAAGCACCCTCAGTACACAGGAAGTTTCCCTTCTCTCTAAAGTAACAGAACAAATATTAAGAATTAGTTTTAAAATGTGAATTTTGATTTATTAATCTAGCTGCAGTTTGTATGTGGCTAAACAGAACATATTTGGCTAAAGACAAATATGAACTTATAGGAGAGACTGTACTTTTTTATAGTGCCTTTAATTCAGATAGAACCTATCATGCTTTATAAACTAAAATCTACATTATTCACTTCACCCATAAGACAGAAGCACCACTTAGATCAAATGCGGCAATATTACAAAACCAATGAGGTCAGCAGTATCCCAATCAAACTACAAGGTAGAAATTTCAGTTAAAATGCCATATTTCCCTATGATGCAGTTTGGACATGATGCAAAAGCAACAGACTTTGCTTGCGAAAGGCATCATGAGGTTTCACTGGCCAGGCAGTCAGGACCTTGGGTTAATACCACATCCCAATAAGAGGAGCAACATGCATCCAACAACCAAGCCAAAGCCTACTACCTCGTGACTCACCAGCACCACCTCCAGTACCTATTCCACAGCTCTCCCTTCAGTGTACTAGTCAGGTGTCCCCCGCTTCATTTTTTAAATTAAAGCATGAAGATTACAAGAATCAAACTTTTTGAAAAAGTCCTAAAATACATAGTGGCTCTCTTTCACCGATTGATAAATACGTCAATAAGAACATTGCTATCTTTATTCAGACTTTAGATCCCTCACAGCCCATATTCTGTCTCCAACAGTAGCAGGTATTAGATGCTTCTGTGGAAGGAGTAAGACACTCTCACAGTAGAAAGGTAAGCAATAATCTGCTCCCCACCCCCCCAACCTTAGGTCTCATCACAACCTAATAGTTAAAATGCATTTCAAAACCTGATGCATGCGGTTAATCTCCTTTTCAAAATGCACTGGCATTTATTATTATAGTACTAGATAGTCATGTTACACACATAACTGTCCATAAATTACCATACGTGCAATTCACCTCTTAACAATGAATTGACAGGTACTTACTTAACTGAAGAAGTATGGTTATGCTAGCTCATTCAGGTTAACCCCGTTACCGGGAACACATTGCTTACATCATCCCAAATAGGATCCAGATGGTCAGCTATGACAAAAAGGAATTTTAGTATGAACAGAGTCTGAAGAACTTCAAGGGGTACTCAGAGTCAAGTGAGAGATTTGGTAATCAGAAGATTGCTTTTGTCTTTTAACTATTTAGTTTTACTCCTGCTTTATTCCAGATAAAGCCTATGTAGTCAAGAGGGACTGGGCTTGATTTTGTCCCAGGTCTCCCAACAAAACAGTGAGCTACTCCCAGACCTATTCTGTTTTCAATCACAACTTTGCAAGAAAGAAAAGCAATACAACCTGAACACTCCATATTACTGGGAAATGAATGACATGCAAAAGAATCATTCAGAACAAAAGCACGATCTTGTGGTTAAGGCCTAGCACCGGGACTCTGAAAGAAGGTGCTCAGTTCCTAACTCTGCTACGGCTTCCCTTGTCTGACCTTGGGCAAATCACTTAACCTGCTTCAATTCTGTCCATCTCTAAAATGGAGAAACTAGTTCCTCCCTCTCATCTTTTGCCTGAGTTGCTTATATAGGCACCTTAGGCTAAGGACTGTACCTACTTTGAGTTTGCATAATGCTTAGAATAAGGGAATGTTATTCTCCACTGGGCCTTCTGTGCGCTACTGTAAACACAAGTAGACACTAACCATGCTGTCCACTTAGTCTTGAGATCCCAGACAAGTTGACTTCACTGACAGTAAAAATTACGTACTTTACTTGTGTCCCTCAACCAAAAAAATGTAACAAATCATCGACAATAAACAGGAAACCTGGAGCGGTTAGTGAAAGCAGTGCTCCAAACTAAAGAAGAGCTGATTTCAAGTACAAAAAGGCCGATGCAAGTTGGAGCTCACTGAATCAGATTTTTGACCCCTTACCATACCAACTAATGAATGAAGTAGAGGAGAAGCAGTTATGTTATAATGAGAACTTAGGGATTAAAAAAAATAACAAAAGTTGCTTCTTCCCAAGACTGTGACCCTGGTATTGCAAGGCACTTCTGAAATCAATGGGACTACAGTAACATGATTAAATATAAATGTCTTGAGGCCATTATGTTCTTCAACATGTTGCACTTAACCAAGGCAACCACCTAGATTACTTGGCCACAGTGTCCTTAGGGCAGTGCTTCCCAAACTTTTCCTCAGTATGACACCATTTATGATCCCATTTCCTCAGTATGTCTCCTCACTCCCAAGTTGCAGCCCCCTAACCCCCAGGTACCCCTCACTTCTGACCCACAGCCCCATGGCTCTACCACTGTCCCTCACTCCCAATCTGTAGCCCCCTACTCTCCCAACATGCCCCAGGGCCTGCAGCCCCCTGCCCCTCTACCCCAGCAGCACCTGAGTCCTGACTACTGCCCACAGGAAGCAGCAGCTGAAGCGTGGAGCCTGGCTTCCCACCGGTCTCCTCCCTCGTGGGCAGCACAGCCAGTACGAAGCCTGTGAGGGGTGGGGGCAAGATGCAGGCTGTCTACTGTGGGCTTGGGGTCCGTGTCCTGCTGCCCCTTCCCCGAGCCTCTGCAACCCAGCAGGCAAGACCTGGCATGGGAAAGAGCGCTGCGTCACACTGCAACCCATCCGGGGTCACGACGAACAGTTTGGGAACCCAAAAGAAGCAAGGGGAAAAAATCCTTTTCAGCTTCCAGAAACAAAAATGAATAAGCATGACTGGAAAAACTTTAACATCAGGAAGGACATCTTCCCAAAAGCAGTTATCGAAGTCATCTGCCAGGAAAAGTAACATAGAAGCAACAAACACTAATGCATGTAAGGAAGTGTCATATATCCCATATTTACCTGAATCCAAGATGACTCTGAATTTAAGATGACTCTCCACTAATTAATTCTATACATGGACAATTTATAAATTTGCAGTAATTTTCCATGTATAGAATTTAATTGATTTAATTAAATTTGTCCATCTCCCCAAAAAGCACAGAAACCAGTGGCAGGGGGGCAGGTGGCAGGAGTCAAGCAGTTTGACCCCTGCCCCTCACATACACCTTGCCCCCTGCCACCACTTGCCCCCTCCTGACTGCCCCCTTGCCACCTGCCCCCCATCTCCCTGCTGCCTGCCCCTCCAGCACCTAGCCTGCTACCAGGGCCTACCTCTCCACCTGGCCCCCCATGCTGCCTGTCCCCAACACAGGCTCTGCTTTCCCACCTCTCCACCATCTTTCCCCCTGCCTACTCCTCCAAGAAGCTCCAACCCAGACTCTAGGGCCCAGCCAGAGTTGCTATAGCCATATCAGCTAGTACCTGGCCAAGCTGAGGCTAAAATAAACACAGGCCCCATGCTGGAGCCACAGAGAGGGTAAACGGCAGCAGGAGGTGCGGGGGGAGGTAGAGGCAGAGGCAGCAGTGGGGAGCTAACATGGGGCAGAGGTGGCAGGAGGGCAGCTGCAGCTCAGCCCTTGACCCCAGATCAGGGCTGAGCCAGACCTGCAGGAATCTCCTACTGTTTTGTACTCAAATCCAAGATGAGAGGTCCTGTACCCCATGTTAAAAACAGGGGATAAAGCCTCCTTTTGTACTTGAGTACATACGGTATATTTATCCAACATTAGAAAAGGGTCTATGTAAAGATACCTCATACTCCATCACATGGAGGTTTGCTTCCAAAGAGGCAACAATAATTCATAAGGCTGCCACAAAGTAAATTAGCACAAATATAAAATAATCTTGGGACTTGTGGAAGTATAATACAAGTATATTTATCATAGGAAAATAAGGCTAGAAGAAACCTCACAAGGTCATATAATCCAGCCCCTTGCTCAGGGCAAGATCATCATTCACCCCAATTTAAGGGAAGTTGCCGCCAGGGAAGAGAAATAACTTATACAGTACATAAAAATAGTGTTCCAGATTATTTATATTAGAACTTGAATTATACAATAAAAATGAATCCTCTCAACTTAAAGAGGTGTAAGGTATATTTTTAGGTGCCACATGCATCAATTACTTCTCCTGACCAATTCTTCAGACTTTATAGTCGTATTTAAATATTCTCTTTGTTAATGTTTCCCTTTCCTCTGTGGTGCTCAAGACCCACTATAGCAATATGGGAAACTAACCACTCTAAGAAAACAGAGACTCAGACTACACGAGTTGCTAAATTATATTAAAAATAAATATAATGAAAAATAGCTTTCTTTTTTAATTTGTAAGTTGTATTCTTAGGTTAAAGATAGTTTTAGTGAGTAAAAATTCAAAGTTGATGGTTTAACCAGTTACACCAGTCTCTTAACTTCCTCTGAGGTTGGTATTATCTTTACTTTGCAAATGATGAAACTGAAACATAGGTGAGGGGATGCATCAAATGCTACTAAATGGCAGAATAAAGGACAGAAACAGGTATAACTAGAGGCTCTGACTGCCAGCCCCAAGACCAGTTCCCCAGAATGCACTGCCTGTACCTTCAGGGCTTGAAAAAAACAGCTCACCAGGAAAAGTTACCTATACTGCCAATTTCAGCCAAGTTTCAGCATCCTTTAAAAAAAAAAAAAAAAAAAAAAAAAAAAAAAAAGTAAAGTTTTAATTTTGGGAGCTATATTGCTTTTATAGACTAATTATTAACATACACAGATCCGCAGTGTAGCATGCATTCAGCTCCAAAGCCTCTGCTCCTACCACTACCACTGACAAAAAGGAATAGAGTATCACGATACTGGCAAGACTCGCTGACATAACAGCTAATCGGAAAGCTGCGGGAGAACTGGTGAAATTATGTCAAATTCCACCGATCAAAGCCTGAGAAACAGAAAAGCATCTGAGGACAGATCTACCTGGGGAAAACAACTGGGACTATAATAGCAGTAGAACTACATGCAAGTGGA